GTCCTCTGCTTCACTGAGACCTGGTGTCCTCTGTGTCCTCTGCTTCACTGAGACCTGGTGTCCTCTGTGTCCTCTGCTTCACTGAGACCTGGTGTCCTCTGTGTCCTCTGCTTCACTGAGACCTGGTGTCCTCTGTGTCCTCTGCTTCACTGAGACCTGGTGTCCTCTGTGTCCTCTGCTTCACTGAGACCTGGTGTCCTCTGTGTCCTCTGCTTCACTGAGACCTGGTGTCCTCTGTGTCCTCTGCTTCACTGAGACCTGGTGTCCTCTGTGTCCTCTGCTTCACTGAGACCTGGTGTCCTCTGTGTCCTCTGCTTCACTGAGACCTGGTGTCCTCTGTGTCCTCTGCTTCACTGAGACCTGGTGTCCTCTGTGTCCTCTGCTTCACTGAGACCTGGTGTCCTCTGTGTCCTCTGCTTCACTGAGACCTGGTGTCCTCTGTGTCCTCTGCTTCACTGAGACCTGGTGTCCTCTGTGTCCTCTGCTTCACTGAGACCTGGTGTCCTCTGTGTCCTCTGCTTCACTGAGACCTGGTGTCCTCTGTGTCCTCTGCTTCACTGAGACCTGGTGTCCTCTGTGTCCTCTGCTTCACTGAGACCTGGTGTCCTCTGTGTCCTCTGCTTCACTGAGACCTGGTGTCCTCTGTGTCCTCTGCTTCACTGAGACCTGGTGTCCTCTGTGTCCTCTGCTTCACTGAGACCTGGTGTCCTCTGTGTCCTCTGCTTCACTGAGACCTGGTGTCCTCTGTGTCCTCTGCTTCACTGAGACCTGGTGTCCTCTGTGTCCTCTGCTTCACTGAGACCTGGTGTCCTCTGTGTCCTCTGCTTCACTGAGACCTGGTGTCCTCTGTGTCCTCTGCTTCACTGAGACCTGGTGTCCTCTGTGTCCTCTGCTTCACTGAGACCTGGTGTCCTCTGTGTCCTCTGCTTCACTGAGACCTGGTGTCCTCTGTGTCCTCTGCTTCACTGAGACCTGGTGTCCTCTGTGTCCTCTGCTTCACTGAGACCTGGTGTCCTCTGTGTCCTCTGCTTCACTGAGACCTGGTGTCCTCTGTGTCCTCTGCTTCACTGAGACCTGGTGTCCTCTGTGTCCTCTGCTTCACTGAGACCTGGTGTCCTCTGTGTCCTCTGCTTCACTGAGACCTGGTGTCCTCTGTGTCCTCTGCTTCACTGAGACCTGGTGTCCTCTGTGTCCTCTGCTTCACTGAGACCTGGTGTCCTCTGTGTCCTCTGCTTCACTGAGACCTGGTGTCCTCTGTGTCCTCTGCTTCACTGACTAACGATGTGACAGTGATCTCCAAGCACTGCTCTCCTGCTCTGGAATATCTTTTCATTCATTGTAAACCATATTACTCTCCTCGCGAGCTCGTTTAATTCATTCTTGCCTCTGTTTACATACCGCCATGCGCGGACGCAGAGCAAGTACTGTGTATGGAACGCTTATACCCGGACTCTCTGATTATTATCCTGGGGGATTTTAATAAGGGAAACTTGAGCCAGGAATTACCCAAATACAGACAGTTTATCAAATGCCCGACCAGAGAGGAGAACACTCTGAATCACTGTTACACCACCGTGCGCGGAGCTTTTCGTGCTGTTCCCAAGGCAGCCCTCGGCTTCTCAGATCACTCCATGATACATCTGGTTCCTGCTTACAGACAGAGACTAAAGCTCTCGAAACCTGCAGTGAGGAGCTCCAAAGTGTGGTCTGATGAAGCTGTGGAAGAGCTGCGCGCATGGAATCTACAGACTGGGACTTTTTCAGAGCTGCCACAGATAGTTTGGATGAATACACGGACACTGTGACGTCATACATTCACTTCTGTGAGGATAGCATCATTCCAACAAGGACCAGGGTCATCTATAACAACGACAAACCCTGGTTCACTGCTAAACTCCGGCAGCTCAGGAAAGCAAAGGAGTCTGCTTTCAGGGAGGGGGACCGCAGCGGCTACAAAGCAGCTAAATATCAGTTCAGGAAAGAACTGAAAGCAGCCAAGTCCCGGCACAGAGAACGACTACAGGAGCAGTTTGGTAACAACGATACTGCTTCTGTCTGGAGGGGCCTACGGGAGATCACCAACTACAAACCCAAAGCCCCCCCCTGTGCTGACGACCACAAGCTAGCTGACGAACTGAACTTATTTTTCAGTCGCTTTGATGCTGCCCCTGACACCTCTCCCTCCCCCACCCCCCACTACTCTAACGACCCACCCATCAGCCCTGCCCCCAGCCTAACAATAGCCTCTAAAGAGATTAAACAACTCTTCCTGAGGCTGCACCCCCGCAAAGCTCCTGGCCCGGACCACGTGTCTCCGGCCACTCTGAGACACTGCCCCAGTGAGCTTACTCCTGTGTTCACTGACATTTTCAACACCTCTCTGCAGTCCTGCCATGTCCCGGCCTGCTTCAAATCCTCCATCATTGTCCCCGTCCCGAAGAAGCCCAGGATCACAGGACTCAATGACTACAGACCTGTAGCACTTACGTCTGTCGTCATGAAGTCATTTGAACGCCTGGTCCTCTCCCATCTCAAGTCCCTCACCTCCCCCTCCTGGACCCCCTGCAGTTCACCTCCCCCCTCCTGGACCCCCTGCAGTTCGCCTACAGAGCCAACAGATCTGTAGACGACGCCATTAACCTGGCCCTCCACCACATCCTACAGCACCTGGACTCCCCGGGGACCTACGCCAGGGTCCTGTTCGTGGACTTCAGCTCTGCCTTCAACACAATCCTGCCATCCCTGCTCCAGGACAAGCTCTCCCAGCTCAACGTGCCCGATTCCACCTGCAGGTGGATCCCTGACTTCCTGACGGACAGGAAGCAGCGAGTGCGTCTGGGGAAGAATGTCTCGGACTCTCGGATTATAAATACAGGAGCCCCACAGGGCTGTGTTCTTTCTCCCCTGCTCTTCTCCCTGTACACCAACCACTGCACCTCCTCCCACTGCACCTCCTCCCACTGCACCTCCTCCCACTGCACCTCCAGCCACGACTCCGTGAAGCTGATCAAGTTCACGGACGACACCACCCTCATTGGACTCATCTCCAACAACGATGAGTCCGCCTACAGGAGGGAGGTGGACCGGCTGGTGTCCTGGTGTCTCCTACAGGAGGGAGGTGGACCGGCTGGTGTCCTGGTGTCTCCTACAGGAGGGAGGTGGACCGGCTGGTGTCCTGGTGTCGCCTACAGGAGGGAGGTGGACCGGCTGGTGTCCTGGTGTCGCCTACAGGAGGGAGGTGGACCGGCTGGTGTCCTGGTGTCGCCTACAGGAGGGAGGTGGACCGGCTGGTGTCCTGGTGTCTCCTACAGGAGGGAGGTGGACCGGCTGGTGTCCTGGTGTCTCCTACAGGAGGGAGGTGGACCGGCTGGTGTCCTGGTGTCGCCTACAGGAGGGAGGTGGACCGGCTGGTGTCCTGGTGTCGCCTACAGGAGGGAGGTGGACCGGCTGGTGTCCTGGTGTCTCCTACAGGAGGGAGGTGGACCGGCTGGTGTCCTGGTGTCTCCTACAGGAGGAGGTGGACCGGCTGGTGTCTCCTACAGGAGGGAGGTGGACCGGCTGGTGTCCTGGTGTCTCCTACAGGAGGGAGGTGGACCGGCTGGTGTCCTGGTGTCTCCTACAGGAGGGAGGTGGACCGGCTGGTGTCCTGGTGTCTCCTACAGGAGGGAGGTGGACCGGCTGGTGTCCTGGTGTCTCCTACAGGAGGGAGGTGGACCGGCTGGTGTCCTGGTGTCTCCTACAGGAGGGAGGTGGACCGGCTGGTGTCCTGGTGTCTCCTACAGGAGGGAGGTGGACCGGCTGGTGTCCTGGTGTCTCCTACAGGAGGGAGGTGGACCGGCTGGTGTCCTGGTGTCTCCTACAGGAGGGAGGTGGACCGGCTGGTGTCCTGGTGTCTCCTACAGGAGGAGGTGGACCGGCTGGTGTCCTGGTGTCTCCTACAGGAGGGAGGTGGACCGGCTGGTGTCTCCTACAGGAGGGAGGTGGACCGGCTGGTGTCCTGGTGTCTCCTACAGGAGGGAGGTGGACCGGCTGGTGTCCTGGTGTCTCCTACAGGAGGGAGGTGGACCGGCTGGTGTCCTGGTGTCTCCTACAGGAGGGAGGTGGACCGGCTGGTGTCCTGGTGTCTCCTACAGGAGGGAGGTGGACCGGCTGGTGTCCTGGTGTCTCCTACAGGAGGGAGGTGGACCGGCTGGTGTCCTGGTGTCTCCTACAGGAGGGAGGTGGACCGGCTGGTGTCCTGGTGTCTCCTACAGGAGGAGGTGGACCGGCTGGTGTCTCCTACAGGAGGGAGGTGGACCGGCTGGTGTCCTGGTGTCTCCTACAGGAGGGAGGTGGACCGGCTGGTGTCCTGGTGTCTCCTACAGGAGGGAGGTGGACCGGCTGGTGTCCTGGTGTCTCCTACAGGAGGGAGGTGGACCGGCTGGTGTCCTGGTGTCTCCTACAGGAGGAGGTGGACCGGCTGGTGTCCTGGTGTCTCCTACAGGAGGGAGGTGGACCGGCTGGTGTCCTGGTGTCTCCTACAGGAGGGAGGTGGACCGGCTGGTGTCCTGGTGTCTCCTACAGGAGGGAGGTGGACCGGCTGGTGTCCTGGTGTCTCCTACAGGAGGAAGGTGGACCGGCTGGTGTCCTGGTGTCTCCTACAGGAGGGAGGTGGACCGGCTGGTGTCCTGGTGTCTCCTACAGGAGGGAGGTGGACCGGCTGGTGTCCTGGTGTCTCCTACAGGAGGGAGGTGGACCGGCTGGTGTCCTGGTGTCTCCTACAGGAGGGAGGTGGACCGGCTGGTGTCCTGGTGCAGTGGTAACAACCTGGAGCTGAACGCCCAGAAGACAGTGGAGATGATTGTGGACTTCAGGAAGAGCACTGTCCCCCCACCCCCACCCTCCGTGATGGACTCCCCCATCACCTCTGTGGAGTCCTTCCGTTTCCTGGGCACCACCATCACCCAGGACCTCAAGTGGGAGCCGACCATCAGCTCCTCATCAAGAAGGCCCAGCAGAGGATGTACTTCCTGCGGCAGCTCAGGAAAGCCAAGCTGCAGTTCTACACGGCCATCATCGAGTCCATCCTCACCTCCTCCATCACCTCCTCCATCACCTCCTCCACCACCTCCTCCATCACCTCCTCCATCACCTCCTCCATCACCTCCTCATCACCTCCTCATCACCTCCTCCATCACCTCCTCATCACCTCCTCCATCACCTCCTCCATCACCTCCTCCATCACCTCCTCCATCACCTCCTCCATCACCTCCTCCATCACCTCCTCCATCACCTCCTCCATCACCTCCTCCATCACCCTCCATCACCTCCTCATCACCTCCTCCATCACCTCCTCCATCACCTCCTCCATCACCTCCTCCATCACCTCCTCCATCACCTCCTCCATCACCTGCTCATCACCTCCTCCATCACCTCCTCCATCACCTCCTCCATCACCTCCTCCATCACCGTGTGGTCCTCCCTCATCACCTCCCATCACCTCCTCCATCACCTGTGTGGTTCGCTGGAGCCACAGTCAGGGACAAACAGAGACTACAGTGCATTGTGGTTCTCTGCAGAGGAAGTGATCGGCCGCAGCCTTCCATCGCTCTGCAGGACCTGTACGTCGCCCGAGCTCGAGGCCGGGCTGGTCGTATCACAGCCGACCCCTCTCACCTGCACATGGACTATTCCAACCACTCCCCTCTCACCTGCACATGGACTATTCCAACCACTCCCCTCTCACCTGCACATGGACTATTCCAACCACTCCCCTCTCACCCTGCACATGGACTATTCCAACCACTCCCCTCTCACCTGCACATGGACTATTCCAACCACTCCCCTCTCACCCTGCACATGGACTATTCCAACCACTCCCCTCTCACCTGCACATGGACTATTCCAACCACTCCCCTCTCACCTGCACATGGACTATTCCAACCACTCCCCTCTCACCTGCACATGGACTATTCCAACCACTCCCCTCAGGCAGGAGGCTGCGGTCCACTCAGGACTAGAACCTCCCGCCACAAGAACAGTCAGTTTCTTCCCCTCTGACTGTTGGACTCTTGAACACTTCTTAACCTGTCCCCCCGATGCTACTTTCTCCTCTTCAGAACAAAAACAATGGCGAAGCGAGCTCTTTGAGATTGATTCGAATCTCATTAAAGGTGTTTCTCGGCGTAAGTTTTTAGACTCATTTTTTCATTACAGATTTTAACTGTGATGCTGTGAATAAAGACACGGTTCTTATTGGAAACAGATGGTTATTGTTCAAATGTATTCAACACAAACAGTGAAACAATAAGTGATAAAAATCTGACGCCAAACTATTTCCGGCCAATCACAGTGGAGCTTCTCTGTGGCGCCGGCTGTGTCGTTAGCAACATCGGAGGGTGCGTGGGTGGTAGAGCAGGGTTGAGGGATGTCAGGGGTGTCCTTTTTTTGGAATGGACTTCAATACATGTGTTTACTTTTACTTTTTTACTACTCATTATCTCTTACTCTTGATTTCTTGAATTCAATTAAACCTCATCCTTTCCATTCAATAACAACTGATCATGAACGTGTGAATGCCGTGGACAGACGCTACACACACATACACGTTTTTGTTACCTGGTGGGTCCCTTTGACAGGGCCGTTCAGAATGGGCCCCATAGACATAATCTTTTTTTACCAAGACTTTAAGTAATACAAAACAGTCAATAGAAACCAAACAACTATTTTAAAGGAATTTTATTTTAGATTTTGTTTTCGAATTGCAGTGATTCTATTTTTGACATAGAATTTAATGCCACTCCATGTCCGATGTCTAAGGTCATCTGGTGAGGCATTAATGCAGGCCAGGCAGTGAGACTTCCCAGGGACCTTTCCAGTCTGTATGAAAGGTGTCATGGTCTTCTCCACAGCCTTCACCTCAGATGCAGACCATGGCTTTCTTACACGTTCTAGGGAGAGAAATAAAAATATATTAGCAATATACACTCCCAGGGTGAGGACCAAGCAGCCTGGCTGTAATCCCCCACCTGGTACACTTACCAGAAGGGGCACTGCCACTACCATGGGGTGCATCTGGATGAATGGTTGAAGGTTCTCCGCTTGAAGTTTCTTTTAGCCCGTCCGTTTGTGAGAGGATCTCTACTGCTCTCCCTGTCGCACAGAAAATAAAAATACAAGTGGCCTTTAGGGGAAAAAAATCATACATATTTTAATAATATCAAGAATTACCTTCAGGCTCAATTTGTATCTGGTCGAGGCTCTTTCCTTCGAATTCCGTCACTCTTCCCTGCTCCATGGCCATCAACACTTTGCTGATTTTGGCCAGCTCCAGTGTCCCCTCTGGTAGTCTGTAATATTGCCTGTGGATGCGAATGTCATGGCCGAGGAAGTTGGCAAGTATGTCCATCTCATTCTCTTTCATATTGAGAACTGTAGACATAGTAGCTATGTGCTTTCTAAGTTTGGTTGAGGATAGCATCTCTGGATGCACCGCACCACATTCTTTGGCTACCTGGCGTAGGGAGTCTGATCCCCTGATGTGGGTGTCTGCGCCCGGCGGGAAAAGAAGTATGGGTTATGGTCAGAGATGGAACAGGCCCTTCTGTTCTCCACCAGCACCTCCATCGAAGCAATCATTTCAGGAGTCAAAAGAACCGGCACTTTCCGACTTCTTTTCCCTTTAATTTCAATGCGTTGAAAATGCTGACACAGCTTTTTCTCAAGTTGGGACAGTCCCAGAGCAATGTCAGAATGGATCCCAGTCTTACTTCTTAAGGTAAAGGCTGTCAGTGGCATCTTTGAAACCTCACCTTCCCTTCTTCGATTGAAAATGATGACCTCACAAAGAGTCAAAACTGCCAGTTTAGACCAATGCTTAGACGTTGGCTCACTTATTAGGGTTTGCACATATTCAGGTCGACATACCTCAATATGTGCATGCATGGCTCTAACGTCCTCAGTCAGAGGGAGCAGGTCCGGAGTGTTCCACTTGGCTTGCCGGAGGGTCTGTAGGGCAGCAGAAGAAACACAGACGTCCCACCTCTTCTCAAAAAGCAGCCGGCTTCGTTGGAGGTTTTTAATAAATAGTTCATCAACACAATGCTCCATTTTTGAGTCACATTCAAGAATATCTGCTAGCTTTCTGAGGCTATGGCCGAGTTTGAGGGCCAAGGATGGAGTCTTGTATTGATTTGTTTCCTCATCATATCCAGCCACAGACCTGACTGCATCAATCACATGGTTAAAGTTGGAAGGAATAAAGAAATCCTTAATTGTTTTCAGTTTCCCTGCGGTTTTTGCTTCGTTAATTAACCTACCGACTTCTCTCATTTTCTGCCTAATGTAATCATGCTTTGTCTTATCATGCCCGTGTTTTAAGTACAGGTGCTCTCCGAGTCTCAGAATCCCCTTTTCTGCTTTGACAACACCCGTGACCTCATCCTGATGCATTGCCGAAATTAAAGACCACAGCTTTTTGCTGATGCCCTCCGGTACAGGCTGGGCTAGGGAGCAGAGGGACTGGACCCTACTTCTACCTGGTTTAGCCTGGGCATCTTTCTGTGAAAGCCGGCACCTGGCCACATGCCTCCACAGCGACTTTCGCTTAAGCAATGCCCCACAGTCTATACAGTGCAAAAACTCACTGGATTTAACTGGGCAATTTGGCTGTTTAGCTGGGACTAAAGTTCCAATGCCGGCCTTTAAAACCTCAAAATTGTGCTCACGGTTTCCACTATTCCTGATCAAATCAAACTGAAGTTTACGTGCTTTAGATTTCACAGGTAGAGCCAATGCTCTGGCTACGTCACTTTCATTTCCATGTTTTCTAGTCAAATGACGGGACATTTTGTGGCAGGACATTGAACAGTAGAGGCAGAAGTGTCTCTTGCTGTATACTCGCCCCCCATTTTTCTTCTTTTGCAGCTGCATGATAACAATCTTATTTGCCTTTGGTTCGTCACTTTCCGAGTCTTGAAGAAAAGTGTTTTTGATTTTTCTTTTTCCATACTTTTTTACAGGTTTCTTCTTGACAGTTAAATCGTCAGAATCTGAGTCGACTTCATCAATTAGGGACTCTTGACTAAGCTGCACAAACAACAAATAATTTGTAATCATTCTATATAACAATTTGAAGTCATGACTTGTAGTCAGCACTTACCAGTGGTTTGTAAGCGTGCGCTTCAGTGTGCTCCTCCATGATTTCTTGCAGCCTAATGAACCACACACTTGCACCTTTTTCTAGCCTGACACCTGATTTCCTCTGTTGTGCTGCTCCATGATTGGCTCCAGCCTGCTGGACTGAAATTGCCCCAGTGTGCCCCTCCTTGATATCCCGCAACCCACCACCAGGGTTCCGACACATAACACACTTTTTTCAGGAAAGTAAACCTCCAGGGGTCCTTTCCATATTTTTACAGAGACTGCATAAGGACCGTTAGAAAAGCATTACCCATTGATTATTAAGCTTGGACCAGTGGGGTCCGGTGTTCGGGCCCCACCACGTAAAACCAGTCCCCATGACGTGAGTGGAATCTCAGGTTATGGAACCCACCAGGAGTTGAAAACAAGTGCACACACACACACACACACACACACACAGCTATATGACAGAGATAGCTTCTTTAATATTCTCGCTGCATCTCCTTCGATGTGATTCTCAGGATTCCAGATTTGAAGGTGTCGGTGTCCAGTCTTTTGTCCTTGTATCCGGTGATTTGAGAAGATAAGTTAGTCTTTCCAATGGGAAAAGGTTTAAGATATTCTTAAACCAATCAGAGATTCGTGGTCCTGCATCCTCTGACCAGTGCTGCATAATTGTTAATGAAATATCTTCACATACTTCTAACCAGTATTGTTTTGTCATTGGGCACATATTAAATGTCCATAGTTTCCCACATGGTGTTTGCATTGTTTACATAGTGATGAACAGTTCTTATCATATTTATTCCGTTGATATGGAGTAGTTTGTAATTTGTTTATTATTTTAAATTGAATTTCTTGTGACTATGAGCATGATAGTGCTCCATTGTTGGGTTCTTATAGTCGTATCAAGATCACGCTCCCAAGACCTTTTACTGTGGTCACACTCATTAAAGTCCCCAGACGGCTATAAATGTATGACATTTTTTTTTACTTTTTTGTAAACTGATTTTAAAAAGCATTTTTTCCAAGCAGTGAGGACCGAGTCCTTGTTTATATTGTGGAATTGAGTTTAGAAAATGCCTAATTTGCAAGTACCTAAAGAATTCTTTGTAGGTGAAATGATTCCTGGAACTGACTGAATGTAAGTTTAGTAAGTTTAGTAAGTTTTTTTTATTTATATACCGCCTTTTCACTACATGCTTTTATGACACCATCGTATAGATCATATATTACTTTAATTCCAAGTTTTTCCCATTCTCTGTAGCCTTTATCTAAACAAGAAGGAATAAAATGAGGATAATCTGCCATCGCAGCTAGAAAGGAATAGTTTTGGTCAACTGAAAACTCCTTTTTGATCGTATTCCAGGTCATTCAAATATTGGAGGCTATATAGTTATTTTTCTCCAGTTGTTTACTTTGAAGAAAGGGTGCTTTGATAGAAGTG